GCAAAAAATACTACACTGTGCATTGGCTGTCTGTTTAAAGAGTGCCCGGTGCTTCCTGGATTCAAATATCTACACTTCATTAGAAGTTGGCTGGATGGGAGATTTCCATTGGCCTATTATCTCCAACCTCAGGTCATACATCAGTCCCCATTATTATTATTTTTTTCCCCATTTGGTCAAATTTCAATTAACATTTCATTGTTTTTGAAACTCACCTGAAATAAACAGAAAAATAATGCATATCCTCTTGATTAGTTACGTTCATTTTCCAAAAATAGCAAGTCTAAAAATATACTGCATACACCATCTTAGGAAACTGACATAATAAAATATCCCTAATAAGGAGAAATCGTAAAGTAGGAGAATATATCTATTTATATTACCTCTTTGAAGAATCTGGGGATTAATAGAAATAATAACAACTTAAAAGCAAAAACCTCCCAATAATCAGGATTGGATTTTTGTCTTGGGTCACGACTCGTGTGGCTCAAATAGAGAAAAAAAGTTCAGGATGGCTTTAGCGTGTCAAAACTTTCGCAGGCTTTACCCAACGTTGAAGGACGGGGCGTCTGCTGCGTGGGAAAGCAGCTGGTTACTCTTGATGCCGTTAAAGGTACACGATCGCGCACTCCGCCACCACTCACAAGCCAAAAAAAAAAATGCTTGCGAGGTTAAGGCGATAGAAGAGTCTGGTCAGAAACCCGCCACAACAAAGTATCAAAATAGCCCACCTGCCCCTCCGAACCTCCACCCGAACGCCCTCCAGCTTGGTGCTACGTCTGCCCGCACAGTGGGTCGGGCCTCCATCCAGATGCCTATTTGAACTCTAATCACATTGACAGTGTGGATACATACATGTATATATATATACTGTATAATTATATAGGTACGTTAGAGCTGACTGACAAATCGGATGGAATGACTCGAGCGATATCCCATGATTCAACATGTCGAGCATCGGGTTATATGACAAACACGCTGGCTGGCTGACTTGACTCCTCTACTGGTTAAGTAATAGAAATACACAGTTTGCACTGACAAAAGCAGCCACGACATCCTCACGGTTTCCTTCTACAAAGGTACAAAAAAGACACACACACACACACACACACACACACACACAAAGAAATGATATACAGTGAGCCCCACCCCACCCGGCGTCAATATTAAGTAGCTGGAAGTTGAACGCATGTGTAGTAATTAAGGAATGGATTAGTGCAATAGAACAAGGAAGTGAGGACTAGAAGCGCTGACGGAGAGGAGTGAGGGTGGAGACGCGAATTCTGGCTTGCGTGAGACATCCTTTGGTTTATCTTGGCAGAGACGGGGTATTGAGCTGTATCGGCGATCAGAAAAACAATCGGGAGCTAAAGTCATCCGCCTTTCTTTAGGAGAGAGGGTGCACGAATGCTAAGCGCGTCACATCTAAGCTGACAAATTCATGCTTTTTCTCTTTGCCGAGCGAACAGCCAACGCAACCTTTTGCTGTAAAAATGTACAAAAGATGTTCTCCACTATTTTCAGACCTTTTACTGTTTGTAAGAGAGCCGCGTAGACTGAACCGAACCCTACTTCCAAGGACTGCAGGTGCACCCTGTTCTACCGCTTCAGTGTTTGATGTGGCGAGACGTAGCTGCCTGAAGCTCTCCCTGCAAGTCATAAGGCAAGTCACAGGAGTGAATGTGAGAGTATACACGACACCACCAAAAAACCCCATAAGGGAGCCTCTTCTTCAAGTAGCTGAGATTACAGTTTTCTTCGACATCTTTCACCCACGTGTGTTTCTTTTTTTTTACTGGTTCGAATCGATCGCGAGACATTTTAGTGTCACTGGTCCGTACTAAACAAAGTTAAAAGAGCCCCGCTCTAGTTCGCTGGAGTCTAGTAGGGAAAGGACTGTCTCACGAACCCCGTTCAGGTGCAATCGTTTTAGTTTTAGCTCGTCACTTGAGATGAAAAGGTTTCGGTCAGTGTCAGGAGAAGAGAAGGAAGCTCCGCTTTCTCTAAAGCTGCTTGTTTTGGTTTTGATTGCCTGAAAGCTTCCTTAAAAAAACCGAACCAAAACCAAAACATCACACATGGCGACAGTTATCCATTCACCCCGGAGTCACACTCGCTCTCCATTCTCTCTGACACGCACGCGCGGACTCGCGCGGGTTCGAAATCGGGAGAAATGAGACGACACTCTCTATTAGCTGCGCCTTCGCTCTCGCTGCTTGAGCACCGTTAACGCCGAGCGGACAGCGCGGGCCTGTGTTCCCCGGCAGCGCCTCTGTGCCGGACCATCCCTGAGCCACTGGCTTACAAATGGAACAAACATGATTGTTGTGCTAAGACGCTTGAGGGGAAACACAGTCCTGACAGCAGCCCGGCTCGGCTTGGCGTTCAGCAATTCTGGCAGGGAAGCGATTGGAGGCTGAAACCTCAGAGTGTGGTGGAAGCTTTTAAAAATTAAAAAATCTGATCTGAAGAATGAATTATCACTCCTTTCTCTTCCAAAACCAAAACCGGAAAACATTGGTGCTCTGTCTACCACATTCCAGCTAAAGGGATCTGTGCTTCTTATTGGCGCAATAGACGACCTCACCCCATCGCCACCCCCTTCCCTCTGATTGTGAGGTGCTCACTGGATAAAAACAAAACAAAACAAAACAAAAAAAAGTCCCTCAGCCCCCTTCACTCCCTCTTCTTTGTGCGGGACGGGGCGGTGCTTCATTGACGATTAATTCAAAAGGTGCAACAGCCCTCCACCCTCTACTGCAGATTCTTCAAGATGCGACCGTAACGGAAATCGTAGACGTGCCGGCAGAGATACACCAACTCGGGGTCGACGTCTGTGGGCACACAGCGGTGGGAAGGAGGGGCAAAGTCGGGGCGGCAGGGCACCATGCTGGCACTGCCAGGCGGGGCACCTTCAGCACGCCGCTTCACCAAGGCACAAAATCTAGGAAGGGAGAGGAAAATTTATTAAAAGGCAACTTTCCTGCTTCTCTGCCTTCATTTCCTTCTTTTCGCAAAGGTTTTCACGGTAAGTGTTCATGTTCCTGCAAATTCATTAACAGTTGTAGTGTCACCAGTGTGTGATTTAAAAAAAAAAGAACGTGTCGTCAAAGCTGAGCTGTTCCTTTCAAACTTCAAACCTTGTGAAAAGACTTTTTCTGCTAGCAACAATTACCGTGTTCGTTACTTACCTACAGTACTGGGCTAGTGGGAGAACGTAGCATCTGTCTTCTATGCAGGCCACGCTATTTTCATCCTGATGCCGAGAGGCGAAAATCTCATTCTGAAATCAACAGCAGGTGTGAAGAATCACATCTCTGTTAAGCGTTTCCTATTGTGCTCGGCGAATAATGACGAAATGACACTTTTGTACAAAGAGCACAGCGGGAACTATAATTGTTCACGAGCAACAGGATTTTGCCTTTTTGCTTCTTATGTACTGCCAAAGACACACACACAAAATCCTGCTCTGTTCGACACGCGCTATTGTAAAAAGAACATTTCTAGAAGTAAAATCGTTTATCTTTCCTGTTCTTGGCTTGTGCACGTCTGAGGTCGGAGAGATATCATTTTTGGGCTTTGTGGTCAGACTGAAGAGCAAACCGACTATCCACAGTTTCAGGGCAGAGCAGCGACAGGCCGTTTTGTTCGCCTCCTTGTTGCACATCGTTTTCTTACACATGTTGCACGGGGATACCTCATAATATTTCTGATGTAGCACAAACTGTTCCATCGATAAAAACTGCATTATCTTTAAACAAAGTGATAACAACTAAATAAAGAATAAATTTCACGGCTGCAGTGGTGTGCAAAAGTCTTGGGTCACCCTTCAAGAAGAGACAGACTTTCTTATCATTTTTTTAAAGTGGTCTTGAGCAACAGTTTGAGGCTTTCTAAGGCTCTTTCAAAGTTTTTCTTTGCTTTTTCACTCACTTTCAGTCCAGTCCTTGTACCTGACCATTTTCAGTAAATGATTAAGGTTTTTTTGTTTGTTCACACTGACCTGTGAATGATTCAAGCATAAAAAAGACACATAACTCAAGGGATGAGCCTGTCTCGAGTCTGCACATAGCAGACAACTTAGAGAAGCACCACTTTTAACATCAGGCACTCTTTTACTAACAGCCTGCTGCAAAAACACATCATTTGTTTCGATTTCTTTAGCCGAATCAAAAGACGCCAAAGATAAGACAGCTGTAAAACTGCATTTTTGCACCAACAAGATTATTCCCAAAGAGCTATTAGCTGAACATGTGACACATGTCAGCATGGTGTGTAGTATGCCTTTAAAAGATTTGAGGAAACTGGACATGAGGCGGACAAAAGTGGCAGACCTAAAACTATCTAAAGCAGATGAACAGTATCTGAAAGCCATGTCCTTAAAAACTGGAAAAAGACCAGACTCAGGACCTGAGAGATACATCTGGCCCTTCGGTTTTGGGGATCTTGTCATAAATGATGGAATTATGAACAGAAATCTACCATACAATACTATCTGGATTGGTAACTGTTTCTTTTTTCCATGAAATGATCCCAAACACGCTGCTAATGCAGTAAAACCATACACACTGGAACACTGTGAGTCATGGATTGGCCTCCCAACATTACTGAAGCAGTGTGGGATCACTGTGACAGAGTACAGAAAATAAAATCAGCCAACATCCAAAGAAGAGCTCTGAATGTCCTTCAAGAAACCTGAACTATTATCC